ACTTTTCTAGAGATCTGTGTCAAAATTTAATGGTGATCTTTTGGGGTCATACTCACATAGGTGTGGGAGGGTCTCATAGTGTCATTACTACCATATGAAAGAGTAATAATCTTATGATACCCTCCCATACCCATGTGTGTCGGACCCCAAAGGATCGCCATTAAATTTGGTACAGATCTCTAGAAAAGTTATCACATGGGGTGTGAGACTTGACTTTTCTAGAGATATATGTCAAATTTAATAGTGATCATTTGAGGTCCTACACACATAGATGTAGGAGGGTCTCATAGGATCATTACTTCATATAAAATAATGCTCAAGGTGTACTTTTAAACAACATCTATATTAAATACGGACTTTTGTGGTTAAGTGGACTCTTAAGTCTGTTGACTCACATAAAACTTTTCTTTAATATATTTTATTACATATAATAAATATTATTTAACTAATATAGTTATATATTTTATACTTATATACTTGGTCAAGTCAGGTCGACACCCAATCTCTTAAGGTCCGGGCCAGACCTTAGCCTAGACCCAACTTGGATTGGGTCCAACACCACCAGACACGGACCTAGTTCAGATCAACCTGCTATGTTGGGGAATCAACCCGACGTGATTGTTACCCCTATCAGCACTTCACATCACTATGAACCTAACAAGTTTGTCGCGGTTGCACTAAGCCGCAAATCCAGAAAGCATCAAAATAATGCTTGTACTGTTGTAGAATAATGCTTGTACTGTTGTAGACCTAACAGGTCCGTAGGAGTGTCAATCGCTACGGATTTGTTAAAAAATAAATTAAAAAATACCCAGTTTCTATGCGGACAATCCCGCATATGTAGAAATGCGGGCCTCTAAATAAATCTATTTTTGAGATGGGTTTTAAGACTTACTTTTTAAGGATATATAATCTCTAACATGGAGATCATGAATATGAAAAAAAAAAAAATTTTAAAAACTAAAAATAATAATTCTAGTAAGAAAACATTTGACCCGATAGTTTCCATTGTTTTTAGATGGAACACCTACTTGCATCCATCTTTAAGATGGATGCTTTACACTTTCTGAGCTGTATATGTAGAAATGCGGCCTAGCCCGCATGAAACACCGCATGAAACAATCTTCCAAAATAAAAAAGGGAGACAAATGGGTATGTGCATAAATTACAAACAAAAATATATTTTATAGTTTCAAAAAATAAAAAAGATTGTACAAGTAATTTCTCAAAAAACATTTTAAGGAATAACACCTAGTGGAGTCCGGGAGGACCTTGGGCCCCCTTGGCATGCAGTTACCTATTGGGTGAGCTCAAGAAAACAAAATTTAATGAGGCCCTTGGACATCTCTCTTAGCCGTTAGGGAAACTGAACTCGGCAATTTTCAACATCTCTCTTAGCCATTACGATTCATTTTTATTTGTTACTATAAGAACAAAACCTGTCGGAATAAAGCATGGTCGATCATAAAAAAGGCAAAAGCTATCAAATTTCAGCATGCATTTCAAAATATTCCTTCTATTTTTTACAGTCACTTCTCATTTTCCCGACTTTTGCATTTCACCCCCACCCCAAGTGTATAATTAGTTTGCAATTTGAAACCAAGTCATTGTAGTGACCATTGAATCTCAACAAAGTGATTTAAACTTTTTGAAGCCCCTTCGCAAACTAAAATTTGAATACTAATTATATTAAGGGATTGTATATTGAGACTTTACTTTTAGTATCACTTTTATCCATTAGATGTGAAATCCAATAAATTGAAGTGTTACAATTTTCGAAAAATTTTATTTTGGAACACTTTCCTAATCATCCAATTTTACATCTAATGGTCAATAGTGATTATGACCTCCTTATATCAAAAGTAAATGGTCTCATTATATACATTTCCTTTTCCAAAACTCTATTTTCAAACTAAAAATTCAGTACCCACTATCTAAAATCTCCTTTAAAGCCCCAAGTCATAGTAACAATTAAATGATAGCTATGAATGGATATAAGAGGGCATGTGAAAGGGCACATTTGCTTGTATATATTTCCCATATTTAAACATTCTCTTGTTTTTATTACTGCATATGCTTCTTGTGATTCAAGTCATGGATGTCAAGATGTAGGCCCCAAATGTCTTAACCACTATAAGAATTGCTCAAACCCCTCTTACTATTACCTGCGAAATTTTTATATAAAATTGATTGTAAGTCCTATTTGCATATAATCTCCTGCACATTCCTAAGTTGTACTACTGTGCATCAACTTTGAACCATGGTGTTCTATTCATTTTCAAGATACGGTACCCCTATTGAAGGGAGCCCTAGAGAATTTAGAGTGCGACGTACCTCCTTATCCAACTCAATCACCATCTCTTCTTCCTACTTCTATTGGTAATTAAATTAAAAATATAAAATAAAAATCATATTCAAGAAGTTAATCTTATCGAATAAATATATCCAAACTAACGTACAAAAAACACTTTTCGTGTTATATGCATCCGGGGACACACATCCACACTTGTGTTACGTCCCCCGACTCATAGGCCGTCCATTGATGAATGTAAATGATTGTCCCTCATAAAAAAATAAAATTAATGGTTTAAATAGTTTCTTTAAAAAATAACATTTGTGGGTTTTTAAAAGTTATTTATTTTTAAAAATAATAATAATCATATATTCCTTAAACATTAGGGTTGAATCTATTGGATTATAAAGGGAGCTGCATTTCTACATATGCGTCCGAGGACTTTAAAAACCATGTCTTTTTCCAAGTACATAGTCCGGATATTCATATACACATAAAGAATGATCTTGTTTTGAGGATTATTAATTGGGTGTGGTTCGTATAAGGCTGAAGCCCAAAATAATTAAGATAAGGTGCACCTTCAAATAAAATTGAAAGACGTTTCAATACTAGAAATCTTTGTGATAGCTAGACAAATTTATTTATATCTCTAATTATAGAAATCTTTGGGATAGCTAGACAAATTTATTTATATCTCTAATTATAAAATTTAAAACTTCAAAAATAGTACAAATCCAATATATCCGTAAACACTTGAAAAATTGACAGTTAAAAAATGAATTACAAGATGCACCATTTTCAAAACTTGAAATCTATTTTTCTCATGTCTATACATCTTGAGTTCGAAATGATCAATCTGAGGATTTTTTTGCATCAAAACAACTTTTAGTGAATTTTTGAAGTGCGCCCTAATTTGATTGTTTAGGGCCTCACCCTTATATAAACTTTTTCCTTATTAATTAACCCCAAAATTTTACGAAAAATATTTTATACATGTTTTACTACCTTGATATTATAATAATCACAATAATAAAGGTTTTCAAAAAAAAAAAACAATAATAAAAATGCATAACATGTGCCTCACGGCTTCACTGTTGGGATGTATGGTAATGCGTTTCATATGTGGCAAGTGAGTTAAAAATAAGCTTTATTTCAAACTTTTCATAAAATACATATGGCCCATGAAACATTTTCTCTCATTATACAAGCATGTGAAACATAATGGCTACATTGCAATAATTTTTGCATAATTAATAAAGTTAATTAGCAGATAAAAAGAATGGATTCACTATAACCGAGAGTGCTGTCTCCATGGGCATCCCTCTTCAAAAGCATTATCCAACACGTCTTCAACCCTCTTTGCAAGCAATAGCTGTTAACAAATGAAGATTACAATTATTCTTATAGAAGACATAAAATTAAATGAAGATTATGATTGTTACTATAAGAACATAAACAAAGAAGTACATGACTACACTCATTGCAATCTCATACCCACAAATGTAAAATCTTCAAGGCTAGAGCAATAATGCCCCATGTTTTAATGAAGAATTCTTTCAAGGGCGGTTGCGCCCAAAAAAAAAAAAGACTACTAAATGAACAGCTTCATGATAGAAAGAAGACTTATAACTAATAAATGTCTCTCTTTATAAATGAAGAGCTTCATAAGTATTTTACTAAATATACTCAATATTTTACGACATCTAATACCCTTACCTTGTAATATAGTAGCTTTTTATCAAGAGGTATTTTAAGTAAGGGAATGTCTACAAGAAAGAAATTCGAATCACTCAACGTTTCTATAATGCTGTTTGATATTCTACATGCTACAACATCACGAAATAACAACAGCTTGAACAAATAAATTTGAAACTCGGAACCGGGCAAGCGCACAGTTCTCATAGATATACTGTAACCCAATTGGGCAACTCCACAAGATATTATTCACTCTCCATACCCATGTGCAGCTTTGACTATTAAATCATATTGACCTTTCTTAATAAGTTAGAATTTCATTAAAACTAAAACCACTGCTTCAGTATCTTTGTATAGCGTACACACAAAAGCATCCTTCGATAATGGATGTTACATTCATGTGTGAACTTCTACAGGCTCCAAGAGAGATTAAGTCATCCTAGATACTGAGGAGTGGAAAGATATAAGTTTGGAATCACCCCATACCTCCATTCCAGCAAGAACTGCCGGTGGTACTTCCACCAAGTCCTTCACGTTCTTTTCTGGTAAAATTACTCGCTTAATTCCATAACGATGTGCAGCCAATATCTGAAAAAATTCAATGACATTTGAGAAACCTCAGACAAATTTTAGTGTAGTTCGTATGGGTCAGTGTAATAAGCCATTTTAAATTTTGGTAGTCATAAAGTTGTATCCAAAATCAAGCCATTCATGCAGAACAAATTGTCCAGGAAGGGGTGGTGATAAGGTCACTGAAGTTTGCTATGGCGAAGAGATACAGAATTATAAAGGGAAAATATTGAAACAATTCAAGGAACACCTGCATAAGTCATGCAGGTGCACCATAAATTGGGAAATCTCAGGACAGGTCAGAACTGCTAATATTTAAAAAAGACTATTTTACCCCTAAACACAGGATAAGCACGGGTGATTTAATGAAGTCATCAAATCTAAAAATGCTAGCATGTACAATGTTTCAAATACCCGACAGGTGGGAAACAGGGACATTAGAAAAGGACATGCATCACAGCTACTTTATATCAAAAATTCCATCTAAGAACTGTTTCCCAAATTTCTAAGCAACTACATCATCCATCAAGGTATTCCAGACACTTGCGTGATAATTCGATGCTAGCTGCCCAGCCTACAAAGTAGCAGAGGCCGCATGGCCCAGATATGACCACACTAGCTGATCTGAACTCATCTAATATTTCTTGGTGGAGCCTACGTCAGGCCCACATGTCTCTAAAATTTGACATCTATCAGATTCATTAGAAAAAAAAAATTAAAAGCACATTGGCCTGCCAGATTGGCCCAAGTTCAATCTGGGCCATCCACCTTACACTGTTCTGTAGGCCAAGCAGCTAACAATATCTTTTTTCATATTTCCATATCTACATACTGAAACCGAAAAGATCGAACATTGGTCACCTTGTCCTTGATTCCACCAACGGGCAATACTAGGCCCCTCAGGGTCATTTCTCCAGTCATTGCAGTGTCTGAGCGAACTCTTCTCTGACTAAACAGAGAAACCAAAGATGTAACCAAAGTTACTCCAGCAGAGGGACCATCTTTTGGCACTGCCCCTGCAGGGAAATGCACGTGAATGTCTCTGCCCTCCAATAAATTAAGCCCTGAGGTGGCTGACAACATAAGATCGGCAGCTCTTGCCCTGACCTAGAAGCATCAATAGATATCTATTGATTAGTTGATGATGGTACAAAGAGAATAGATCAATGACTTGATGGTGTTGAAAGCTAGAATCAACATAAGATTGACTGTATTGCCACACATGGAATTCAGGTATCTTAGATAAGTTCACATGAATAAAATATTATGATACCCAAGTTAGTGCTATTTGTGCTGATTCTTTGATAACATCACCAAGTTGCCCAGTAAGATGCAATTCACCCTTTCCAACCATTGTTGTAGCCTCAACAAACTGAACCTCACCACCAAAGGTGGTCCACACAAGCCCAACCGAGACACCTGGAGTGGCTACTCGCTCTGCAGCCTCTGTATCATCAAACCTAGGAGGCTACATAAGATAACCACCAAACAGATAAGTAAAAAGAAACTTGATAGTCCCAAGTATTAAACTTCACAGTCCAAAAGAGAGTAGATGTCCAGGATGCATAAATCAAAAGAAATTGGTCTCTCTCTATTTACCCCCAAGACTTTTTCAAGCATAGCCTCATCAACAGCAAAAATTGGAGGACTCCTGAAAGCAGTTGATAGTTCTTGTTTGTTGACACCCATTGGGATGACCTCCATCTCTACTTCAGCACCATCAGCAAGTTGAGATTCTTCAAGCAATGATGCAGCCAACGGTTGGACATCTTTGCTCAGAGGAACAGAGTTTTGCTGCTCAGCAACTCTAACAGCAGCTGCACGGGCCAGAGCAGCCAAGTTTCTTTCAAGATTTCGTATACCAGCCTCTCGTGTATATCTCCGAATTATGAGGGCAACCACATCCTTAAAACAAAAAGCACCATAACCATCATCATCAAATTTTATCATACGAATACTCCATCCATAAATTCCATAGCTGGTCTACCATTACTGTGAAACTATGTAGAGATAATATCATGCTGGAAGCGAGTTGCTGAACTATAAGTATCAGGATAAGGAAAAAAAAAACAAATTTTCAGTAACTGTTCACAGACAAAATATTCAAGCGTTTATTGAAATCCAATATCACAATTAAAGGAGATTACCATTTGTGAAGTTAATTCTTCATTCTAGATGGTGGAAAATGTAGTAAGGTCTATTATTACCTCAGATATTTGGAGGTATTCAGGGTTTAACCCATGCTGATCCAGAACACGTGGTACCAAATGCCGCGTAGCTATTCTTGTTTTTTCTTCAGGTGTATAACCAGGCAGCTCTATAACTTCCATTCTATCTAAAAGTGCTGGAGGAATAGGCTGTGCCCTGTTGGCTGTTGCAACAAAAATGACCTTCGAAAGGTCAAATGGAACATTCAAATAGCTGGTGATATTGAATTAAGGAATAAAGTGTTCAAAACAACTCTAGAAAGAATTGCAAACACACACGTCCATGTGTAAAAACAAACACTAGAAAGTTTAAATTAAGGAGCTCGTAATGCTGATATTTATAACATTTAGATTGTTCTTCACATGAAGAATATTACATTAACAGAAATTTCACACATATCTATCATACCCTTCAATAAGGGATAGCAAGTTAACCATGAACTATAGAAAATGAAATATATTTACAATGCCTGCTCTTCGTTCAATTATTTCCCGACTGTTTGTAACTCCTAAGACTACTTAGGCAGCTAAGCAAACCAACTGCCCACTAGACCATGGGCCTCATGAGGATTTCTTGTTTGTTTAGATTGCAATTACCAACCATGTAATTGGATTGATGTTATTGAATGTCCTTCAAGCCTTTATCCTTTCCCAATCAAGAAAAGAATCAGCAAGCACATACATGGTCTTCAAGAGAACTAACAACTAATGCATAAGGTTCTTTGACCTTCTTCTCTACAGCCATTGGCATAGGCATGAAGGAACAAGCTATTCAAAAAAGGAACAGCCATCCAACATGCTTCTAGGAAAGAATTAACAAGATCATATAAAATAGGGTTATGTTAGGGTGCTCACACTATAAAGCATTTTATAATTATACTCAACAAATTTTTGGACACTTATATAATCATGTTTTGTAATACAATATTTTTTTATTAAGGGTATTTTTCGTTATTAGGAGGGATGTGTCATCATTGACATGGGATGTGCGATCACCCACATGGAGCATTAAATGCTACTAGTTTGCTCCATATTGATGATGTCACACCCCATGTGGATGATGTCACAACCCTCCTAATAACAAAAAATGCCCTTATTAAAAAAATGCTTCATGTACAAAACAAAGGTATATAAGTGTCCAAAATTTGTTGAGTACAATTACAAATTGCTCTATAGTGTAAGCACCCTAACATAACCCTATAAAATAAGCTACCAATATTATAAATTCAAGGCATAAGAAATAGCAAGGAGGTGTTGCATGCATAGGATATGTGCTTTACATGTCCATAAGGTAAACGAGGTAAATTTTAAACAGCGGAGAACACATTCCACCACAACTGCTTGCATGAATGCTATATAAAGCTTGGATACTGATCATTAAAAGTTTTGTTCTGCTCTGGATCAAGAACTTCTAATAGTGCAGCTGCAGGGTCTCCCCGAGCATCTGAACCAGTCTTGTCAATCTCATCCAGTAGCATGACGGGATTGCTTACCCCTACTCTCTGCAACAGAATCAAATATCAAGAATAAGCAAGCAATGAAAGAGAACCACATATATTGTTTCAGTCATGATCCAGGAGCTTAAGAAACTCAGAAACTAACATCATTATAATATAATGAAAAGGAGAGCATATCATACACAGAGCATACAAGGTTATGGTATACGTCTGGATCCACCATCCATCCTCAAGAAAAATTTTTGAAACAGTGTTACGGGACTCGCCCAAGTAACTCGTCCTCGTCCTCGCCCATTGTGTGTACAACTCAAAAATTTCAAGAAAACCTCAAGACAATTGTAAAAACTGTGGGATTGTTGTATAAAGTTTTTGCATATGATTGGATGCTTTTGGCAAAGATGGGTGAGTGTTTTTTGCCATATTTTTATACTGTCCTTTTTTTTTTGGATTTTTTTAAATGCCCCCAACCATAAATCATTTTTTTTAAAATATATTTCTTCTATACTTTTTTAAGCTTATTTGGACATTTTAAGGTTGTCTTTGGTTTTATTTTACTTTTACTATTTTTCTTTATTTTTTCAAATTTTTGTTAATTTATCTAGGACTTTTGGCCCTATACAAGACTTGGCCAGTCCACTCAAGCTCGGCCGAGTAACTTGTTTTGGCCAAGGGCCAAATCCTTTGGCCGAGGTGAGTTCCTAAACATTGGTTAGAATTGATTGGAGTGGGGCCCACAGGGACATTCATCAGGGTGTAATTAATCTCCAACCATCCACTAGTCGGATCAGATGGTCATCCAAATATGGCACACTTCAAATACAATCACTTTGGCATATGATATCCATTACTGACCTTCAGTCCTTCAATCAGACGACCAGGCATGCTTCCTATGTATGTCCTCCGATGCCCTCTGATGTCAGCTTCATCCTTGACACCACCAAGAGATATCCTAATAAATTTCCTGTCCAGTGCAGCAGCAATAGAAGACGCCAGAGACGTTTTCCCAACACCAGGTGGGCCCACAAAACACAAGATTGGACCCCTGGCATCCGGTTTCAACTGTACTTCAATTTAACAAGAATAAGTAGCAATTAGTTACTAGCTAAAGTGAGGGAACAAATGAAATGTGATGGGTACTATAGAGGTTCTTTTTCTTTTAATAGATGGATATCATAAAACATTAAAAAGAGAATTTTTATGAAATCAACCTTCCGAACAGCTATGTATTCAATAATCCGCTGCTTGACTTTAGTTAGGCCATAATGATCACTGTCAAGACGCTTCTTTGCTGCTCTCAAATCCAGTTCTCTCTCTTCACTGACCTTTTGCCAAGGTAAGTCTGCAAGAAGCTCAAGGTAAACTCTTGAGCTACTGTATCCAGGTTGCTGAGGTTGCATTTTCCGAAGTCGACTGGAAAGGAAAGTCTCTCAGATGAGATACCTCCTTAAGAAATAAACCCTCTAATGCCTCTTCCTTTAGGGGCAAGTATACTATAATCCATGAACAACAGTAAAACCACATTCCATTGGGTCATCGAACTCCAATAAATAGATGAATAATTAAGAGGAGAGAGCAGTAACCACCAAAGCAGGGCAGAAAATCGATGGTGGGCTGCCACTCGCCCTCACCATGATCATCCCATAAAGATTTGATGACCACAGTGGCCAAGGGTCTTTAGTCAACTGGACCATAATATAGTTTCTGTTCAGTAGATTGTGATATTTGTTACCCTAGCTACATGGCCAGACCTCAACAAAGAAAGTTTTCTTCAAAACATCCAAATTAGTCCACAGTCCAAATCAGATTATTAACTTGAACTATTGATTTTTTTTTCTTGATGGGCACTTAGTATGTCACTTGGTAATAAATAATTGAATAGTAGATTGTATTCCGATGTCATCAAAACACAGATCATGAGTAACACTCATACCGTAATTCTCTTTGGGCATGCTTCCAGACGTTCGGAGGCATTCCAGCACTCTGCATCTTCCTTTCTAGAGCAGCCACATCATCCTCATCATCATCGTTATCGCCAAGCTCCTCTTTTATTGCTCTCATCTAAACAAAAATCATCAAATAGTAATGAGGCATATCAGGTCGTAGGAAGCAGGCAACAGAAAAAATCTCCAAATCGAAGTTCTGAGAAATCCTGAAGGCATATCTCCAGTTAAAAAACTCAGAACCCATAACTAACATCGGAATTTAGCAAGACAGGCTTTCATAAAATTATCAATGTGGATCACAAAAGAAAAAGGATACTTCATATCAACAAGTATGTTCATATTTAAAACACCTTGCGCGCATGGTCCACTAGAGTCGCAGATCGATAAAAGCACGGGAAATTTTTGTGAGGCCACATATCCAATAATACAATGACCTAGTTTAGAAAAACTATGACCCAAAAATGGCAGCTCAAAAAACAAGCATGAAAGTAGAAGGAAGTGAAAAAATTCAGTCAAAAGCTGAGGAAGGAAAGAAACCTGCTGACGCAAAAGGAATTCTTTCTGGGACTTAGACAACTGCCCCTCAACTTTTTGGGTTATCTTCTCTGCTACTCGAATTGACTGGTGAGAAACACAAGTGTAAGAAAGTGATATGAAAATTTACCAGCAATCTGTGAAGGGACAGCATACCATACACAGGCTTCGTATGGCAAGTGGTGGAAAGCTGGGGCTATCTATCATCCACGTACCTTAGCTGTGTTGCATGTATGATACACAGCCTGTGTATCCCATCTGTAAATTCAGGATAGAGCATAAAGAATTCATCTAACCTGCAGATGTCTGTCAACTAACTCAGTAGCTTTCGAAAGCCTTGCTTTTAGATCAACTGCATCCAACATTGATAGCTGTTCTTCAAAGCTTAATTCAAAGCTGGCAACAAAAATATCAGCCAGTCTGTGTACAGGCACTGTCTCAAGAAGAACTTTGGTTCTACCAACTGTTTTCTGCTTCTGGGATCACATGCAAAAGACATCTATTGAGATATTCTATTCATATATTGGTACAAGGAGTTACATAGATCAAATACAAAAACATAGATATAATACAAAAGCAATTATGAATCCCATGCACTAAGCAGCTAAATCAGAAGCAGATGGAAGAATTATGGGTGATTAACAGGAAAATGATAATGGAGACTCAAGCAAGATCTCACAGTGGATTTCTTTTTTTCTTATATCAGTAATAGACAATTGGCAGGTATGTACTTGTAAATATAAAAAAGAATTACTGGCATCCGCATGCATTGGTCCTTGAGGCATTACAATCTTTGGTCTGCTATAAGCATTATGAAGTTCGACATAGCTAAAAACTATACAACTTAAAACAATCTTCATTCACCATTTTACATATCTTCCCCATTAATAAAGAGAAATTTGCCTTGTGCATTTAAAATTTGTTCAATATATGTTTGGGAAAGTAGACCATAGATCAATGGACTAAGGAAAACCAGAGTCATGGAAATATGGGAAACCATAGCACATTGCAATCATGATGGCCAATGACAGAGAGACTGAACCCACCACTGTGATTCTGTTTTTGGTAAGTGACACCAGATCATTACAAAATTTCATAACCTCCTTAGGTGGTAATGAAGTAATGAACATGGTTCCCTGGGTCCATTGAAGTATACTTTTATAGTGGAACATTGAATTATAATTGTGAGCTTCGGAGAAAATCCTCAACCCATAGCAGAATGACAATTGCAACAATCAACACAAAAACAACCTCAGAAAAAGGCAACAAACATAGTTTGTAAGACTGCAATCTAGCTCCAAATGTAATACCTGTTCAAGAACAGAGATAAGTTCCATTGCTGTGGCCTTAAAATGGCGAGACAAAGCCTGAAGATCTGGGTCTTGTTCTGCCTGCCCCATTTCTAAGAGTGCAGTCATCAATCACAGAGTAAGTCAGACTAGATATAATTTTTCAATGTCTACCAAGTTATTGAAAATGCAAGTATACATACAGGATTGAAATGCAATCAAATACACCCATCAAACCAAAGGCATGAAACTATTCCTCCGAGGTGACACACAAGTTTTCCCTCAATTCAAAAATAAAGAAAATTTACTCTACACAGATAACTTATGAAAAAGTTACTCTATGCAGATAACTTTCCAAAAATATCCAAGTATAGCAAAAATCATTTCTTACAATGGTTGGAACTTTCAATAAGGACGGAATAAGAACAAAAAAAGAAGAAGAAGTGTTATTTCAGTAAGGACGAAATAAGGGAAAACAAAAGAAAGAAGTGTTAAAACACTTCTGTCCACAAGATATTTTCACTTTTTACTTTTTTTTATCACTAAGCTGGATTCAAACCCAAATTAGATCTTAAATACTCGAAAATTGTTAGCATGTGATGAATCATAATGTACATTTCTTTAGAATTATTTTTTTCTCTTTTATTTCCCTTTTCCTGCCACGAACACCCTGAAAGTCTCATGCATTCCTAGACACAATATTGGGCTTGCAATTCTAGCTTTTAATTTGCTGAGATTCATTGGCCAGTAAAGGGATCCATCAAAAACTGAAAATATAAGTATAGAGGATTGAAAAGAAATCAAATAAAAAAAATTATTATTCTACACACATAACTTGCGAAAGAGATTCACGTGCAACATGCAACAAAATGCAATGTTCACAATGATTCAAACCATGCAACATTACAAGGAAAAAAGAAAAACAAAAAGAACTAGTCTTGGGATGTCAGGTACAAGCTTCTCCTGAATTCAACAATAAAGAAAAGTTACTCTATGCAGGTAACTTGCCAAAAAATTTTAAGTGCAACAAAATGAAATGTTTATAGTGACTGGATCTTTCAAAACGGACGGACAAAGTAAAAAGAAGTGCTAAAGCACATGTCACCACAAGATATCTTCACTGGAGAAGTTCTTTTTATCTTTTACTTCTTTTGCCGGCAAGCTGCAATTGAGACCTGAATTAGATATTAAATACTCCCAAATTCTTAACACGTGGTGAATCAAAACGTACATGTATGTTTCTGGAGGATTAATTTTTCTCTCTCTCCCCTCCCCCTTCCCTCCCCCGTCCCTCAATTCATGGAACCAATGTATGGTTTGTGTTTTGGTGTTTTGTCCCGGTTTATGTAGAGTTAGATTCTAGGTCATATATTTCTCCTAATAGAAAAAAATACTATCCATACAATCTGTATAAGAACATTTTCATGGTTAGATGATCTGATGTTCCTCGGAAAACTAAGCAGAATAGCTCGATCTTCTTAACAGCAAGTAATTAATTTACAGCATAGGTTTCAGTAAATGCAAAAGAATCCCAAAATGGAGACGAAAATTTCACTATTTTATTGTCATTTTTCTGTTCAGTATCAATTATTTTCCCACATATACGTATTGTTACTATACAAAATAGGGAAATGACTTTCTTTTTCTTTCCTTGAAAAACCTTTTCCATTTTCAGTATGCATCTCCACAAACAAGAAATATCGCACCCACAATTTTCTTTTCATTGTTCATATGTTTCATTCTTAACATGCTCTGAACAATAATTCCTATGCAATGCAGAAATAAAGAAGGGGATAAAGTGATGAGAGAAACATCTGCATATGGACGAGAGTGGAAAGATCAAAAGCACCACTAGAAAAAGGGTTTCATCCTCATCAAAGAATTAAAATAAATGGGAGCATTAATTACCAATTTGCGACAAATCAAGACGTGAGATCCGTGCAACGTAGTAGGTTCCTCTTGCACTAAGTTCTTGAACACTAAACCTGCAAAGACCTTCAAGAATAACACTATAGGTAACCCGTCCACTTGGTTTCTCCACTCCCCTTGAGAGATGTAAAGCTCTAGCAGCAACTCCCCTGGAATTATCGCCCAAATCCAAGCAATCCTCGGTGTTACTACACTTTTTTCTGGGTAAGTTATGGATGACTTACATGTAAAGAAAAACAAAACATCACATAAACTAAAATGCTCAATTTCAGATTGGGACATATATCTGCTGAGATTATTATTGGAGCAAAGAAAACAAGTTATCAGAAGTTAATATGAAGAATTAGGATTGTCTGAATTGATACAAAACATTGAATTAAGCAAATTTTTGTGAAATATGTCAGAAATGTCATCCATAGTTTCCATAAAATCCAGCAGTTAAGAGCAAGCAGAACAGCCCATGAAATGACATTTTGTATTACAAACATAACATAGCTGATCTACCAACACAATTAAGTGGAAACTGTTAGGAAGTAACGTGCAGAGGCAGCATTGTAGATTTATATTTGTAAAAGAGTGTTGATTATTATATTTATAACGCGTATTAATGTAATATCATACCCTATGTTGTAACACACAACACACACACGCACACACACACACAAAGAGTGAGAGAGAGAGAGAGAAAACATGACACACACACACACCACACCACAACAAAATACAAACGGACGCACGGGGACACATGCATGCACACTCGCACAAACATAATGAAAATGAAATGAATAGGTCGCACCACAAATCAAAAGGAGGGTGAAACAATTTGCAGCTTCATCTCTCTCTCTCTCTCTCTCTCTCTCTCCAAACCTCATTTCTCACATGGTATAAGAGTAGAAGAAAAATCTGCCCTAAATCCATCTCTTTTCTCCTCAAAATCTAATTATCTCTTTCTGTATCTATTCCTTAATATTTCCTTCAAACCTCCCATAAACCCAAATCCCATCCCTTTTTCTTCTTCATCTCAAATCCAATTCTATCGCTTTTCTTCTTCCTCTCAAATCTGATTATTTCTTTCTCTGTTTCCTTTTACTTAAACTTCCTTTAATATTCTCCCATAAACCTTAATTCCATCGCTTAATTTTCCTAACTTTGATCCTCTTCCTAATCTTCTTTTGATCTTCTACCTTAAATTCGTCCTTCTAAACTCTTTATCCTTAATCTTTTTCTTCTCCTATTTTCTTAATCTCTCTTATTACAATGAAAATCAAACAGATCACACAAAATCGATTTCTTGTTTCCAGAAAGTCAAAACTAAACGATTTTTTTTTTCTTGAGTACAAGAAAAAAAACTCATTGAGGCTAACTTTTTAGAAACAAGAAAACAATTTTTCTTTTTTTCGCTTGCCTTTATTCATAGTCTTGATCTTTGGGTCACTTGGATGAATCTGATCCAATGTTAATGTAAATTATCCCTAAAGAAGAGAAAGAGGAGAATAGTTTGCATGATGGTTTCAATGCAAAACCCGCATACATTGTGTCCACGCAGTCTCAAGAAGTGCTATTTGTAGTGCATAGAAACCACGAAATCACCTTCCCAAGCCTCAAAAGAAAGGTCTAAGCAGCTGAAAATGGGATTCAATACCTGAAAAAACTCACCTACAATCCTGATGTATTTAAACAGAATGAAGACCATCATTGATCAACTTGTGACTGTTGGTCAGCCCGTATCTGAGAAAAATACGGTACACCAAGTTCTTGTTGGCCAAGGTTCTGAGTACTAGATGCTTATTGCATCAAATGTCTTTTCAGCCATGGTTGTCCTTTTTTGAAGGATTTCACCCCCTCTTGCTGCAATATGGTGCAATGTTCGTAGCACCCAATGGGCAGATAAAAAGAGAAGGATCCAAAGATTCACATGATGTTCTGAATGTCGCATTCTCCCTTCTCATGATTGTGGGAGAGGAGGGTATGGACGTCGTTGGAATAGTAACCTTGGAGGACCGGGTATTTAACTTTCCCCTGCTGCATCGTCAACAAATTAACCCACAAAGAATGCCAGTATCACATGCCAGTTAGGTGGAAAAGTAGGACATCGTGCTGCCAACAATTTGTTCAGATTTGATTCCAACTTTAACATTGGAAATTTAGGACGACAGTGTGTGAGTCCTCAAGCACATCACCTAGTCTCTGATGTGATTCAAATTTCTGACCAATGCAAATAGCTTTTTGCGACTCTTTCAAATTTGAAGATCAATTAGCAAAATAACAGTGCATGGATAGTCAATTCAGGTGCAGCAAACCACTTTCTAATGATTTTGGTAAATTTTTCAATTTAATTCCATATCATAGGGAAGGAATTTAATTCCATATCATAGGAAAGGAACAGTAGTACTGCATGCCGGAAAAAGTGCATCAGTGCTTCTTCTCCTAATTCTTTAGTTTTCTCCAACACTTTCCTTGTTCCACAAATCTTGTTTTATGTCACAATTAGTTGATGATTCAATTTCCAATGTCATTTTTACACGCTCTTCTGTATATGTGAAGGCTCTTCTCATGAGGACGATGTACGCTGAAGGGGAAAAGTGGGAATATATATGTTATAAAAGAAGCCTTAAAGTCTATGTTTTAGTCGAATTCAATTAAGTTATCCTTGCTTGTTTCTGAAGTTGATGTGTCAAATAAAGCGAACTTGGACTTATGACAATGTCTAGCCCATAGCAAATTTTCATTCTTTGAGAGTCTTGCTGTAAATGACCTATTACCATCCTTCACTTTTTAAAAAAATTCACTAGACACGTCGATGTGTCCTAGTTGTCCGAGTTTGTAGAAGTCACGAACTGTTCTTTAAATTAAATAAGGATGGGGTTTCTATGAGTCAGCCTACTCATACTGTACATATGCGAGGCCCCACCTAAACCTATCTTAGAAATAGATTTTTAATCCAAAATTTTTGGGATTCATGATCTAGGCTAAGATGATCATCAATATGACAATAAAATAAAATTTTCAATATCTAAAATGTGATTTTTTTTTAAGAAATTGCTACACCGTCTAAATTCATTTCATTTTAGCCCCATGGGTTTTTTACAATGTCCATCTCTAAGATGGATGTTGGAGAATCAGCGGACCCTTGCACCTGCTGACTCACACATAACTTTTCCATTAAATAATAAGTGGGTTTCTTTTCGATTTAAACTTGTCCATTCAGATGTATGGAGCCCATCATGCTTCCTCTACTGATGATCATAAGAGGTATACTTGGATATTTGTCATGAAACAAAAATCTTAAATATCCTCTATATTCCGACATTTCCATTCATTTGCAGCCAATCAGTTTTTATCAAAAATAAAGAACTACCGAAGCGAAGGTGGAGGTAAATTTACTTCTAATGAATTCACAAAGTTCTTTCGTGATCATGGAATAAATATCCACAATTCTTGCCCACATACACAGGAAATGAACGGTATAGCCAAAAGAAAACATCGACCCTCTGTGGAGAATGCACTCTATGATGCACATTTGTGGAGCCCCTCTTAAATTAATGAGTGAGGCCTTTCATACCGCTGTACATGTTATAAATCAACTACCATCTACAGTTCTGGGTGGAAAGTCTCCTTATATCATGTTGCATAGAAGGCGTCCAGATTATGGAGAGCTAAGAATAGGTGTATATGCTATATGCATTTTGATAAGACCCTAAGGAATAAAGTTTCTCCAAAGCCTGAAGTTTGTCTGTTTTTGGATACAGTGATGTTTACTAAGGTTATTGGTGTCATAATCCAGGAATCAATGACTTATTATCTCAAGACTCGTGGTGTTTGATGACAGTTCATTTAATAGGAAAGTGGACATGTAAGGAACGGATTGACAGTTCATTTAATAGGAAAGTGGACATGTCAGGAACGGATTGCAGACTCTGAAGATGAAAATGAAGCTGCTGAAATTTCAGATCGGCAAGCTAGAAATGCCAACCAAGAGCAGCATAGTGAGGTATACCGGCCTTGGTTGAACATGGAACTACTCCAAGGATGTGTTGTTAGAGCTGTAAGCACATGTGCAACAGTTGATGCAAATTTGTTTCAGAAAAGAACGCAAAGGTTTCTTACAAAAACAATCCAACAAGCCTAGCTTTAATGACTCTACAAAATTGAAGGAAACAATGTCTCTAAACAATAACTCAAATCTGAACCAAAACCCTAACTTAACCGCAATTTATAGACTTTATTTAGACCTCCTAATCCTATTTCTAGTGTAATTAAAACTCCTAATTAAAATTAGACCCAAACTTGATGCTTTCACCCTTGACAAAATAAATTAAGACAAACTCATCTTACAAATGATCCTACAAAAATGGCTTGACTTGACATAGGCATATCGTTTTGCTCCAATATTGAAATCACTATTATGACTCCATTTCCGAAACAACAACGTAATCTTTATAGTGTCCAAATTCCTTTAACATGATTTGCCCAGCAAACCAGGATGAAAAACAAATCTAAATGCTTGAATGCCAGCACTGAAGTTTGTTGCATGTTGCCGGACAGCATTAGTCTCCCAGGTTAGAAAGAACTCGCCCTCAAGTTATGGTTATTCGTAAACTTCTTCAAGACCTTGGCATCAATTCAATTTTCTTAATTCCTCCATTGGAATCCACAAATTCTCTGACTCAAGCTTGCCTTCCCATTCGACCAAATACTGATTGTAGGAACCACGACGAGTAGTAGTGGTCCGAATCTCAATAACCTTTTGGATCATATCAGTAACCAACTTGAGGCACATGCACTTTCTCTTCAGCCACCTCTGTCTCAATAGGCTCTCCATGATCCTCATACAGATCAGAGGAATCAACTATAGGACATATTCCATATCTCTCTGGAAGCTCAATTTTGGATGCATTCCTGCTAATTTTCTTAAGACCAATCTTTTTCTACAAAGGCTTGTGATATGTAGCACTGGAAAGCATTCATGCCTAAGGTACACCATTACTTAATTACCTTGAATTCCTTTTGGCATCAGTGTCTCAGCGTGGACCTTGTACTTGTTGTAACTTTCTTTGAAGCTTCTCTTGTACCTGCTAATGAACCTCCTACAGATGCTCACCTAATCACTCGCTTACTCATTTCAAGTAGAGGTACCAAATCTAGCACC